TTCTCTGTCTCCCTGTAAGGAAGACTCTCAGGTGTGCCCAGAGCTCTCACCTCCAGAGAAGGCCCAGGAGTCTCAGCGATGCCCCATGGCCCCTTCCAACCCTTCTGCTCTGGGAGGTGGGGACCACCAGGTGCCTCTGCACAGGACCTGTCATCTGGCAGGCCTGGCTTATCTAGCTGTCATGGCACCTCCATTAGGGCTGTTCATACACTGTGGAAGAGAGGTGTGGTGAGCACTTTCAACTCACATTCCTGATTAAAAGGTCTAGTTTTTTAAGGTAGGTTCCCCCTTCATATTTAAACAGAAAATATTTTTTTATTCTTGGCCCTACCCAGATCACCTAAGAAATGGAACCCTTCACCCAAGCAGATGGGCAAGAGCAGCCCCAGAGATAGGCATGGGACTGGGTGGACAGACCTCTGGATTGGCAGCCTTTCCTTTGCCCTTTCTGGCACATACTGCCAAGAGTGCAAGTGTTATGTGCCAAATAGCCCATCATTGCAGGGCTGGTCAGTTTCAGCACTGTCTTTCCCCTCTCATCTTTGTGTTTTCGCCTGGAAAGTGTCCCCTTCTTCTGTCAGAGTCCCTGGCCTGGCTCTTCTCTGGCCTGGGACAGGGAGATGACCAGCACCAGCACTGTCAGCACTTTGAGCCTTCCTTGTTCAGGAAGGCCATGATCTTGCCAACCTTACCCCCATGCCCTCCTTAGTCCTTCATAGATGGTAGGGCTAACCCCTGCCAAGGTAGAGCAGGCTTGACACCAGAGAGGCTCCAAGCTCCAAACTGTAGAGAAGAGGTGCCATCCTTTGGCTACAGAGAGATAGAGGGATGTGCCTAGAAGCTGCCTGTAGACGCTTCATCAACCCTAGTTTCCCAAAGCTGAGTTCATAAACCTTCAGTTTTTACCTTGCCCAGCAGGACAATGCAGTGCCCAGTAAGCTCCTAGGAGCAGGGTTACCCTTAAGAGGCTCTTGGGCTGGTGTAGCATCCCAGAATTGTTCCTAAGGTCATGTTCATAACCTTGAGGCATTTAGGGAAGTAGGTATGTACTATGCTATCCTCACCTCTCCTGGACCCCACAGCCCTTTTGGCCATCTCAGAGTACTCAACTTAGAGCCAGAGGCCTCAGGGGAATGGAGGTTTCCCTGCCCTCCCTGAGCTGAATGAGCTGACTCACCTCCTGAAGCTTAAGGAATTGTGCAATAGACCAGAGGAGGCAGTAGACAGGTGGCAGAGGCTGCCTGCCACACAGTTCATGTGTCCCCGTCATGGAAGGCGTGCTCTCCAGTGGTTGAGAAACCAAAGCATTCAGAACCATGCAATGTATCCGTATCTGCACCCCACAGCCAGCATTAACACTTCCCCCAAACCACAGCCTGATCAGAGCCTCCTTGCTTTGGATCTTGGATGGGCAAGAGTCTGTCCCTTTTGGGCTGGTTAGATGAGAGTATTCCAGGACCTGCCTGAGGCAGCCAGAGCCCTTCCACTGCCTGGATTCTACCCTTTGCTGAGCTGCTGATGTGCTCAAATGAGTCACTTAACCCGCCACCAGAAGAGCTCACGTGAACCTTGGCTGCGCCCACACTAGCTCAAAGATTTTGTTTTATGCAATATTCTGACAAGTGGGCCTTGGCAATATGGAGAAGGAACTGCTTCTGTGGCTTTTGACTGATTTTGCAGTAAAGAACTGGTCTTTCTAATCAAAGTGTGGCTTCTGAATCTCACTCCTGCGACTGCTGGGGAGACACCAGCCATCCCACCCACTCCCTTCATCCTATTGGGGACTTCAGGGTCCATGGGCACACTTGCCAGCCAGTGCAGCAGGGGAGAAGAGGTAAGTGGCAGGATTTAGATTGTCCTGGGTGGAGGTGGGAGCCTTTCAGATATACACAACTGGACTGTAATAGCTGAAGCTCACTTTTCTGCCTTAAATGCCTGAACACCTCTCTCTCTCTCTCTCTCTCTCTCTCTCTCTCTCTCTCTCTCTCTCTCTCTCTCTCTCTCTCTCTCTCTCTCTCTCTCTCTCTCTCCCCCCTCTCTCTCTCACACACACACACCTACATGTAAAAGCTCAGGAATCTGGGTGTGGAGAGGGGCTCAGGGCAAACCCTGTCTCCTGGACTCATGGATCACAGATTCAAGACACGTGTGCTGCTGGCCTTCTCCAGAAGTTCCAGGAGAAGCCCCCTACTGCCCATGTAAGAACAAAAGAAGGAAACAGACTAATTCCTAGGGAAACCAGGTTGTAGGAAAATGGGACAGAAAAGACAACATCCAGGGCTATGTTTCCTGACCTCAAGGACCTTCAGCCAGCCAGTGGGGTGCTCCTTGGTCACCTATGAGCCAGATTCTCCAGGGGCCTAAAGAAGAGAAGAGGAACTGGATTTGGAGGTTCAGGGAGGGAGGGCCAGGAGAGGGGCCTGACAGGAGCTGATGCTGTCCCGTCCCTGGCTCAGGCTCTCAGCCTTTCCACCTTCAGCACAGTGCCTCTGAGGGCAGCTTCCATTTTCCCCTCGTCTAGAGGGGGATAGGGGGATGGGGAACTGGCATTCTCATCCCCACAAAGCGCCTCCTATAGTAAAAGGAACAACAAATAATAAAGTACGTGTGCATATCATCATTGTGTTTGGTGGATGTCATTTAACCTTTCCCGAAAGCCTATGGGGTAATGGGAGGAACTGAGACCCAATAAATCAGTCCTCCCATATCTAAAGGCCAGCTTGTGGCAGAGGTAGGCATCAGGCTGCTGGATCCCAGACAGGGGTGGAGGGACAGTTCAGTCTCTTTTTGGGCCATGTGCCTTCTCTGGTGTATCTTAAGATACCCAGCACAGTGGACTCATTGGTGGACAGGACTAACAAATGGGAATTCAAGAAAATATGGGGGTGGGTGTGTCCGGCCGAATCCTCAGCCCTGGGGGGGACTTAGGCCTGGTGTGCAGGTTCCCTTCTCTGCTCAGGAGCCTTAAGTAGCTTCCTGGGTGGAGCACCTGGATGAACCCACACTTGGAAACCAGAGAGAGTAAGTACTCCGGTGCTGGGGACTTGCCCTTGTCAGAAATCGCAGGCACAGCTCAGAGTGGTAAGGCTGTTTTCTCAAGAGGCAGGTAGTTCCCAAGATGCCGGGATCCTGGAACTACACCCAGGCTGCCCGCAGAGTACTGGATGGTGACACTCTTCCCCCTACGACGATGAGGGTCAGTGGGAGTGGAATCTGGTCAGAAGTTGAGAGAAACTGCCTCCCCCGCAGATCTCCATCCAGGCCCTGCAGCCGCCTCCTCCCCGGGAGACAGTCAGGTGTGGCCCAGGATTGCAGGGAAGGAGGGGGAAGGGTGGCGTCTCTGCTCCTAGAGCTCTGGCCCGGCCCAGAGGGGACAGGAAGCCAGGACACCGGGGATTGTCTCTTGCAAGCACAGCCCTGCCCCAGCCTGGGAGGAAGTTCTGCCGAGCGCTCTCCGCCGGTTACATTGTTGAACAGGAAACTGGGCACCGCGGGAGCAGGGCGGTGAAGCAGGCAGCACCGGACGCGGACCCCGCGCGCATCTGCCCGGACAAGTGGAAGCTAGGCCAGACAGCGGGCGAAAGTTCTGAGGTGCCCGGGCCGGGCTGGACTGAGGGAGGGGTGGTGATGGGGATGATGGTGCTCGGTCGTGGGAGGGCGAGAAAGGTGCCCCAGGTGGCCCTCTCCACGCTGGAGCCCCATGCACTGCCTGCCCTTGCTGCGCTGGGGCTAGAGCCGCGCGAGCCTGGAGGAGGGCCCGGAGGCCCGATCTCCTGGGAGGAGCGTTAGGCGTTGGGCTGCCTTCTGTCTCAGGGCGAGAGGGCAATCAGCCGAAGTACCCCAGTGCTGACTTAGGCATTTGTGACGCTTTGGCGAGGGGTGACCGGGGCAAAAGATGCAGGAAACCTACTGGTTAAGGGTGCGTTCTTGCTTTCAGGGATCCTTCCCGCTCTCGCATCCTTCCCCTTCTCTTCGCTCTCCCCGGATAAAGGAAGGATCTGAGGCACAGGTCCCCTTGACACACAGCCTGAGACACTGAGCTCCTGTAAGCCTCTCTCCAAGGGGACTCTAGTTTTTCCAGGCCCGGACGGGCTGCGCCTCAGCTGAGAGGGCGGAGGTGCGCCAGGAATGGGTAGTGCTCTCAGTCTGTCTGCAAAGGGCTCGCAGTTCGCGATTCAGGGTGCAAGTGGCCTGGCTCAGAATGTGCATGCCGGGACGAGACAACCATGTCCAGCCAGCGATTCCTAGAGCATTGCGTCCGCGAAACGCAGGGCCTCAAATTCCTCCGGGGATGGAGGCGAGAAGCAAGACCTATTGACTCTTAAGCTTCACTCACGATCCGTCATCACGGCAGCCCCTCCCTCGTGCCTTTTTTCCCCCTGGAGACCCAGTCTCTCACATCTCCCAAGGGCCCCGGCACAGACATTATTGCTGGCTCCTCACCCTCCCTGACAAGCTGTATTGGGGACTTGGGACAGCCCTACTGAGTGTGAATCTCCTCCTCTCTGTCAGCTCTGTTCTGCGCGGTTCCTTCAATCTGTCCTTGGAAGTCCCGCCCACAGAGATGATAGAGACCTCACCTGCAACCCTCCGCCAGTCCCGCCCATCCAGCCCATGGGCACCCTGAGACTCTCCCAGCTAACGTGAGTGCCTGGGGTTCTGGGGAAGGGGGCGTAACCCGAGTGTCCACACTCAGGATTTGCTCGCCCAGCTCTGGTCTACCGTGATACCGCCTCCCGGGCTCAGGGATGCTCAATGACTCAATTTACACCCTTTGACCCATCAAGAAGTTCTTGAAAACAAGAAGTCACCCTCAGCAAGAGGGTAGACTCCCCGCTGCTGGTCCCCAGGCCACCTTGTAGGACAGTAAACGGAGTGGTCAGTACTTCCGCAGTAGGCCACCGGCTTCACTTTGTTGAAGGCACACAGTTAGGATCGTCCCTCTCCCCGCTACACCCCTCTCCTCCCTTCACCAGGCACCAGACTGAGCAAGCATTGGGTGGGGGTAGGGTGGCTTTGTAATAATCACTCCAAAGAACTTTAGGGGACCCTGGTGATGCTATCGCAATGCATTCTTCAGGAGCTACACTCCCGGGCAGGCAGGCAGGCAGTGTAGGGAACCCTATTCAGGTACGCACACCAGGAAGCCTCCTCGGTTGGAAGCTGCCTTGGGGAGCTGGAGTGCAGGGGGCGGTGCTGGCCCCGCTGGGCGGGCCGGACTCCTGGTTCACGTGTGCGGCGACGCCACTGGGAAAGGAAAGAGAAACCCAGAGAACCGGTTCTCCAGCCTTAGCTGTCCAAGCCCCTACGTCAAAGTCCCAGGACTAAGTAAGGCAGGAACACCCCAAAGGAAGACTAACTTGGGGGCTGCCCCAGAGCCTGTACCCCAACGCTAACCCCGCCCGCCCGGAGCGCAGGCTCCTAAAGGGAGGGGGCACGTCAGGGCTTCCCACCGGTTCCCTGCAGCCAGGAGGCGTCAGGGTGGGCGGGATGGGGGCGGGGGGAGCGGCGGGAAAGGGGCCTTAATTCACAATTCGCCGACCCGGAAAGCGAGGCTCAGCCAACCGTCAGGCAAATGTGCTGTCTACCTTGCAGTCCCCGCAGGTCTATGAGCCAAGGTTTCCCGGAGAGTAAAGTTGAGTTCCTACCGCCCTCAATATCCTCACCGTGGGATCGCAGCGAGACACACATCTCACAACCAACGTCACAGAATGGAGCCTTAAGGAATGGGAGCTTTGGAGATGATTTTATCCAAGTCCCCATTTCAGAGATGGAAAAACTGAAGCCCGGATGCACTGGGCAAGGGCAGAAGAGGGACTCGAACCCTTGTCTTTGAGCCCCAGGCGCGGCGCTCTATCCGGCTGCACGGTCCTGACTTCGGCGGCTCCTCTTCTTGTTACCCGCAGGAAAGCGCGGTGGCCGCGATGGCGGCGGACGTCGAAGGGGACGTGTACGTGCTGGTGGAGCACCCCTTCGAGTACACCGGCAAAGACGGGCGCCGCATCGCCATCCAGCCCAACGAGCGTTACCGACTGTTGCGCCGCAGCACAGAGCACTGGTGGCACGTGCGGCGCGAGCCTGGGGGTCGCCCCTTCTACCTCCCCGCGCAGTACGTGCGCGAGCTGCCCGCACTCGGCGACCCTGCCCCGGCCCCGCAGCCTTCCGTGCCGCAGCCGCGCCCGGCAATCCCGGAGCCTCTGGCCTATGACTACCGCTTCGTGAGCTCCCCAGTGGGTGCCGAAGGGTCCTCCACCGAGCCCCGGGGCCGCGCCAGCTCCCTATGTGGCCCTGCGCGACAGCGCGTCGGAGGCCAGCGCAGCAGCCTGGCGCCGGGAGGTCCCGCCTGCCTGTACATGCGACCCGCAGCGCCGGTGCGACCGGCACAGTCCCTGGACGACTTGGCGCGCGGCGGCACCGCGCCCTCTGCCGGCCTCCTGGGCAGCGCGGGCCGCTTCAAGGCCTCCAGCGTAGCGGGCTCCTGGGTTTGCCCGCGGCCCCTGGCGCGCAGCGACTCGGAGAACGTTTATGAGGCCATCCCGGACGTGCGCTGCCCTCCGCGGGAGGAGAGACCCAAGCAGGTAGGTCGGGAGGGAGGTCACGGTTGCGTAGAGTTCAAATGGTTTCTTAGCTGAGGTCGTTGTTTGTCTCTTCATCGTGAATATTCATGTTTTCATACAAAAATGCAAATGGACTTGATTACTGGGTCTGCCCCAAACCCTGCTAGGAGGTTAACTAACAGATCCGTGCACCGGATAACGTTCCTAAAATGCCACCTGCTCTGTAAGGCGCAGTTTGGAGCTGTGAACTCTCACTCTTACCCAGAAATTTAAGGTGGGGGTCGGGTCACATGAGATGGTAGATGTGAAAGTCGAGCATCTGCTTCTCTTTGGGGCAGTTCCCAATATTTCGGTTCCTTTAAAACAAAACAAAAACTCTTTGTGGGCTTTTTTTTCGAGTTCAGTTACAGTGAGATCTCCTCTCTCTCGGTGCTCGATTGTGTTTATCTGAGACATAGGGAACAGCGCGGTCTTTAAACACTTATAGCCTCGGAATCCTCATGCTCGTTCCTGTCATCTTAAACTTTAGAACCTTTTAGGGAGAGATGGCCTGCAGGAGGATGGGTTAACATCTGCCACTCTCTGTGGCATTATACACAACTCACTTCCTCTCTCAGGCACTGAGTCCCGGGTGCCCTCACCCAGAAGGTTCGACCCCATAGGCCAGCCACTTGGCCTTGTGGCTTGTCCTTGCGGCAGAGTTCAGGTTTTGCGGCTACTGAAACCCGAATTTGACTCTGCTGGGTCACCTGCCAGCTGCTGACCAGCTCGGTGTCCTCGTATGTAAACAATACCCAAGGAATGAAGTTGTTGTGAACCTTAAACGCAGTGAGGCGTGGAAAGCGCTTAGCACGAGCGGGTGCAGGGAGATCAGCTGGGGTCCCAATGCCTCCGTGCTGACTGCAGTTTTGAGCCTCTGCGCTCAGGTTTCCACGGATCATCCCTCCCCCTGGTGGCCCCTTTGGAGAACAACACTCAGCCGGCTTAAGTATCTGCACGGTTGATCGTGTTTATCTGTCAGCCCAGGCGCCTGTGGTATAGACGGCTAAACGCCTGTGCTTGGTTCTCCGGCGCCCTTAAGCTGACTCCCTTCCTCCAGAGAACTCTCTGGTCTTCCCACGAGTTCTTTATCTGTGGTAAATGGCCAAGGGATTGCTCACACTGTGTTAAGAATTGAGGAGCTGCAACCCCTTCATCCATGAACCAGGACTATGCAAGTCTGTCCAAGGGCAGTTATCCAAGCTCTGGGACCAAATAGAAAAAAATACCCTAGATGCCAGAATCTCCTGGGAAATCTCCTCAGCTACCAGGAATCCCTGACCTTTCTCCATCCTTCCTCCAGCTCCCAGCAGGTTCCCGGTTGTGAGTAGTTTGGGGACACAGTTGAGGGAGACCTGGAAGCTGGACAGAGAGGCTGCTGCTGTCTCTCATTAACTCTGTGGCTTCAGCCCACTGCTCAACATCCTTGGCCCTGCTTGCTCCCGTGTGCTGAATATAACAATAGCACATTCTCTGCTGTGGCTCTCCCTGACACCCTGTCCCCAGCAGACTGCAGGGATGGTGACTTTGTTCTCCCTTGGGAAGGAAACCCCACCCCACCCTTCCTTGTCCCAAGCAGCAAGGAAAGAATTTCCTGAAAGGTGAACGTGGCAATTTTCCAGAGGGCATAGGTGCACGCGTGCTTGCACACACACACACACACACACACACACACACACACACACATCCCTGTTGCTGGTGGTTTCTTGTCTCACCAGGTCCCAGCCCCAAATAATCACACGGATACTATATTAATTATAAAATTGTTGGCCCATGGCTAGGGCTTCTTATTGGCTAGCTCTGTCTTAATTATTAACCCATAACTACTAATCTATGTATTTCTACATGACCTTATCTTACCAGAGAATGCCTGGTGCATCCTAGTCTCCACATGGCGACTTTCTGAGGTCTCTCTGCCTATCTTTCCCAGAATTCTCCTCGTCTCCTGGTCCTGCCCATCTTACTTCCTCTATTGGCTGAACAGTGTTTTATTCATCAACCAATAAGAGAAGCATAAGTACAGAAGGACATCCCCCATCATATCCCCTACTCATACTCCAAGTTACTCACACTCACTCATACCTCAGCCATGATCCCCCAAGCCTACTCTTGCTTTTCATTAGGTGTGAATCGATCCGATACCTCCCAAGTCCCCCAGTGAGCCTTCAGACCTAGGGATGCTGGTAGCACAAAAACAGCCCCGAGAGGCTCGCTTCCTGGGATAGGACACAGATGGCAGACAAGAGAAGCTCCTGTCCCACATGGGCTGTGTGGAGCTGTGGAGCAAGGGCAGGGGAGAGGTGTGGACAGGCCTTCGTGGAGGTTCCGTAGTTCTGTCTTAACCCACAGCTTGTGCTGGCTGAGGCATCTACCCTCACGCAGGGCTTTGTGGGAATTTGGACTTTATCCTGCACCTCCTGGAAGGCTCTTAGTAGGGAAGGGGGCGGGTAGGGGGTGTCTGAGGAGGTCTCCTGTGCTCAGGGCTATAATACATGGTGTTAATGGGAGGGTCACCGAGTCTGAGGCCAGGGAAGAGCAGCTGGGTGGCTGAGGCCTAGCTTACCCTCACACCGGTGGGCAGACAGTGGCACTGTTTCAGAGTGGAGGAGGCATGGGGTGGAGAAAACGTGGGGTGCACCCGAATATAACTTACAAAAGGAGGAAAAGAGGAACCCAGGGGGAAACAGAGGGACCAAAGAGGATAAACAGAAGCCTAAGCCAAGGCGAATGCGCAGAAGTTCCAGTTAGACAAAGGCCTTGGGACATTATGTGACGTGGCCACCAGAAGGCCAGCTTGTCTAGGGATTGCAGAAGACGTTGTGTCAGGAGCTGAAGGGGATGGGACGCAGAGGGTACGCAGCTGGCAGCGTTAGGTAGAGAGGAGGAAGGTACTGTGGTCAGGGCGAGAGGGTGAAGCGATCGAGGCATCCCCAAGTCTAAGTCACTGGATGAGGCCAGAGCGAGGAAGGCTGGAGCAGGAGGAGTGGGGGGGCGGGGGAGACTGAGGCAAGAGGCCAAAGCAGGGAAGGCTGAGGCAGGACAGCAGCGGGGAGGCTGAGCCCGGAGGAGGGATGGTTAGATTGGATCCCTGGGAGAAGGGAGTGACTGGAAACCAGAGCAAAGGTGTGAGCCATGAGGTGTAAGGTAAAAGGGGATCAGACGGGCGTGTCCATTCAGCAGCTCTGTCCTTAGGGCAGGCCACTCAGCAGGCACACCCAGAGAAGCGGGGAGCCTGTGCCACATTCAGTATTTCACGTTCACAGCTCACGCAAGTACGCTACACCTGGCGAAGGCTGGTCACGGAGCTGGACCCAAGGTGCAGAAAGACACACACCGCCCCCGGGACTAACAGTCCAGTGTCCTCTCACTCAGAGGCCTGCACACACAGCTCAGTGGCTAGCAGCTCAGAAGGAAGCATGGGACACCCTTTTGTCTCCAAAACAAACAGGATCATAGGGGAAGTGTGTTCAGATCAGACCCAGGCCTCCTGACTCCAAATCCCACCCTAGCGGCCAAGTTTAGTCTCGGGGAAGTGGCCCTCGCTGGTGGCTACTGGCTTTGTTCCTCTGGGTCAGAAGGGGGGTGGGCAGAAGACAAGCAAATCCACTTTGTTCCGAGCACAGTGCCCAGCCCTGCAATCCTCCGGCAGTCACCGCTTGCAGGGGTGAAGGCAGTAAGTAGGACATCCAGGTTACAGCAGGGGGATTAGATAGTCAGGAGGCTACAACCAGTGCTCCTGACAGGGTTAGGCCCACACAGGAAGCCAAGAGACAAAGAGGCCTGAAATCCCAGCTGCTCAGGAGGCTGAGAAAGTAGGATTCTGTTTTCAAGGGTCCTTGGGCTACAGAGTGACTACAAAGCCAGCCTGGAGCACTTAGTGAAACTCTGTCAAAATAAAGGGCAAAAAGAGAGCTGGAGTATACAGTTAGTTCACGCCTACAATGTTTCGGTCTCTGTTCAGTCACCAATGCGGCCCTACCTCTGTGGCCTCTGGCCTCCTTAGCTAGTAGACTTAGGGGTGTGGTCAAGATGCCCGCCCTAGCCTTGGAAGTAGGAAGGCCCAGGGCCCGCCCCTGTTGCCTGGGTATTGGCCACTGGCAGGACAGGTTACAGACCTCGCTGAGAACTTATGCAAACAGCCCGGAGGCACTGCTCCTGAGAGCTTGGATCCAGTCGGAACTGGAAGAAGCCCCCTGGGCCCTCCCACCTGAGGCATCAGGAACTGTGAGTGATCCCTCCTGGGTATTGGGAGTCCTGGGGGAGGAAGGGACTGGATAGTTTTTCTCATTTGCCTCCCTCCTGAATTCCCCACTTGATCACTCCCTGTCCTGTACACTTCCTGGGACAAACGTCTTAGGGACAGACCCAGGCAACCATGAAAAGCTGGGGAATCAATAAAAGCAGGGAGTGGAGGCCAAATTAGGGAGATCCAGTGAGACGTCCCCGTCCCTGTCCCGGGTGGTCCACCCCGCACCCCACGCCACCCTACCCCACCTCACCTCCACTCAATCTCCTAACAGTGTTCCTGGGTGGCTCCGCTGGTCCCTTTAAACCCACCCCTGTTGACCCAGGGGTCCCAAGACCTAGCCCCTGGCTTGGGGGAGAGCAGAAAGAACAGGTCCGTCCCCCACCCCCAGCCCCCCAGCCTTACCTTACCTACCTGGTTACTCAGAATGCTCCTACTTACTGCCTTCACCCCTGCAAGCTGGGTGACTATCCTGTGTCCTCTAGATCCTAGAGGCTGAATTCTTGCTCACTGGTTGTCTTCAGCCCCTAAGCCTTCAAGCTGGATCCCAGGACCTGCCCACTCCTGCCCCTCCCATCTGAACCCTGGACTTTCCTTTTCCCCTGTCCTCTGTTCAAGAGTAGGAGGGAGGGGACAGTCCTCATTGCCAAATGTCAGCTGGGTGGGTGATCAGTGCCAGGTCTTGGGGTACAGGAAGGCCTGTAGTTGTTATAGCTGGGAGTCGGGAATGTACTCCAGGCTCCATGGCTGGCGGACAAGGGGACAATGACCCATGGCCCTGTGGCATAAGAATGCTTGGTTAAATTGAGGAAGCTCTGTGTCTAAGTTGAGGAAGGACAGTGGTGTGGAGGGGATTCCCAGATCTGCTGCCCTTCCACTCAGCTCATCTGCGGGCTCCCGGGGTCCCTATTCTGCATGTTTTGTTCCTGGCTGGAGGTCTCCTGTGAGACATGAAGGTCTCTATCTAATCCTGGACCCCAGCCTCCCTCCCCCTCATCCCTAGGCAGGAATATTCCCCAGCCTGTTTGAATATGCGAATTACTATACCCTCCCTGGTAAAATGATTTGACCACCTTTTAAATGGTGGGGTGACGGGAAATTGCCATCTATTTCTGCCAGACTCAGTGTCCTCGTCCTGCATCTGCTTCCCCGGTCTTCCCTGTCTGGAGTTTGCCACAAGGCGGTTCAGTAGGCTGATGGCGGAAGGCATCTCCTGTGGCTGTCACTCCTCCAGTCAGACGTGGTGGGAGCTGCACTGCACCCCGGGAAGGCAAAGAGAGAAGTCCTGGTTGCAGGCAGCTTGTTGAGGCAATACAGGCAGCAAATGTTCCCCATTAGGAGCTGCGTGTCAAACATGACCCCAAGGTGCCATAGAAGGTGCTCTGGAAGCTGCCTCCCTGCCGTGATGGGATTGGCAGGAAACATCTCAGAGTGCTTCCCGAAGGAAGAACGTGATACCACACACAAAGGTTTCTGTAATTTCTTCCTGCGAAACCGCCCGGATCAGGGCACTTTCCCATGACATCTTTCCCAATCACTGTCAGTAACAGTGCGTTCCAGGCTTTTGGGGGTTTTCTTTTCTTTTCTTTTTTTATTTTAGTTCCCTAGTTAATTTTAGCTAGTTGACATTTTATTAGCAAAGTATTCGTTTTTCCATAGATTTGCAAAATTCCCACTTCTGAAATTTAGTATAAGCTGGAAGAGACGGCTCACACTTGTCGTGCCAGCATTTGGGAAGCAGTAGCAGGAGAATCATAAGGTCAGAGCCTGCCAGGACAGTGCACCAAGAACTCATTTCAAAAACAAAGGAAATCCAGGCCAACTGATTATCTTTTAGCAGGAACATTCATTCTGCTCGAATTTCATTCAACAGCTGATTGCTTCTGCTGGATTTTGTTGAGTCTGGATTTTATTGCTGTGTTTTACACTTGTGGCTTAGCCTTGTGTCCTCCCCCTGGGGTGGGGCTGTGATTGGCTTCCCTTTTCTCCTGTCATATTTTCCATTCCATCCGTGGCTTCTGCCCTCCATCCTTGCATCCCTGACTAGAGCTCTGCATCCCGTCTTGACGCTTATTGAACCAGCCAGGCAGCGCACTCTTTATTGTGCGTATTTCTCTTCCCTTATGTTTTTTTTTCACTTAAGAGTTAGTTCTCGACGGGCATTGGTGGCGCATGCCTTTAATCCCAGCACTCGTGAGGCAGAGGCAGGCGGATCTCTGTAAGTTCAAGACCAGCCTGGACTACCAAGCGAGTTCCAGGACAGCCTCCAAAGCCACAGAGAAACCCTGTCTCGAAAACCAAAAAAAAAAAAATTAGTTCTCAGCTGGGCATTGGTGGTACTCACCTTTAATCCCAGGACTTGGGAGGCAGAGGCAGGCGGATCTCTGTGAGTTGGAGACCAGCCTGGTCTACAGTGACTTCCCGGACAACCTCCAAAGCCACAGAGAAACCCTGTCTTGAAAACAAAACAAAACAAAATAAATAAAAGAAAGAAAGAAAAAGAGTTAGTTCTCCTGAGTGGGTCCATGGGTTTATCTTTTTCCCTATCCCTTTGTGCTTGTGCTATGTCATTGGAGAGAATTTCCGCTGCTTGAACTTGAGCCCAAAAGTTTGAATCTGGTGCTGAGTATCTTTTATTCGGTGAGTACAACAATATATTTTCAAGTCCTTTTTAACTCTTCTTACTTGATCTAACTCTCCTTAAGAGTTCTCATTTTTTGTTTAAGTTGTAATTGCATTGACCAGCCCTTCCTTCTGCTAATAGTCTTGGATTTTTTTAAATGGAAATATGTATGCAGGGGTTTTAAAATAATTTCCCCCCAAACACAGCTTCTTTGTGTAGCCCTGACTGTCCTAGAACTTACTATGTAGATCAGACTGGCCTCGAACCTGAGATTACCCTCTGCCTCTGCTTCCCTAGTGCTGGGATTGAAGGTGTGCACCACCAGGAACTTTAAAATAATATATTTTTTATTTTATTTCATTGCATATTTGTCTGTGTAAGTACATCAGATCCCCTGGAACTGGAGTCACAGACAGTTGTGAGCTGCCATGTGGGTGCTGGGAATTGAACCCAGATCCTCTGGAAGAGCAGTCAGTGTTCTTAGCTACTGAGCCATTTCTCTAGCCCTAAAATAATATTTTAATATTTATATATGTAGTAAAATTCTCACATGCACCCCTCCTGCTTTTTTGCCTGGCTTCTGTTGACTAGGAGTCACAACCTCCATTCTCTGTTTTGTTTTCTCCCAGTTTTATTATGCAAAGACAAACTAATATAAATAAATTGGGTAACTTCATTTTTTCCCCCGAGACAGGGTTTCTCTGTAACTTTGGAGCCTGTCCTGTAACTTGCTCTGTAGACTAGGCTGGCCTCGAACTAACAGAGATATGCCTGCTTCAGCCTCCTAAGTGCTGGAATCACCACACCCGGCTGGGTAACTTCATTTTTAAGTGTCTCCTACACAAAGAAAATTATAGGTCTGTGTAAGTGACATATGTCATTTAAAAAATTATTATTTTGTGTGTATTGGTATTTTACCTGAATGTATGTTTGTGCACCATGTGTGTACAGTGGCCAGAAGAGGGCCTTGGATCCCTTGGAACTGGAGTTGCTGATGGTTGAGAGCTGCCATGTGGCTGCTGGGAATTGAATCCAGGTGTTCTAGAAAAGCAGCCAGTTCCCTTAACCTCTGAGCCCTCTCTCCAGCCCCTATAATTTTATTTTTAATTAACATAGCAGTCATACACATTTGTAGCAGATTTCCATACATGTATAAAAAGTATGATTTAGTGTAACCATATTGATCATCACAGACGGTCATTACTTCTTTGTCATGGGCATTCAAAATTATCTCTACTAGCTGTTTTTAAATGTCAAGCATAGGTGCTCTTCGGTGCTTTGGAGTGCAGAAGTTAATTCTTCCATCTAACTGAGTCCCTAGACTCACTAACCATCCTTCTCTGTCGCCCCTCGCACACACGCTTCCCAAGCTCTGTCGACCACTATTTTGTGTTCGGTTTCTTCAAAGCCAACGCTTCAGGTCCCACCTTGAAGTGGGAGCAGAAACTGTTGTCCCGGGCCTGGTTTGCTTCACTTAACTTAGTGTCCTCCAGCTACATTTGTTTCATTTAACACAGTGTCCTCCAGTTACACTTATGCGCTTCTATAGAATTTCACTCTATTGTGGCTTCGTAGTATTCCATTGTGTTTAGTTTTCAGTTGTGTGTCTTCTTTATTCATCCATTGATGGACAAATAGGTTGGCTCTGTATGTTGCCTCTTGTAACAGAGCTACAATGATCGGGGTAGTGCAGATGTCATCTTTTTTTGTTTGTTTGTTTTGTTCTGTTTTTGTTTTTTTGAGACAGGGTTTCTCTGTGTTGTTTTGGAGGCTGTCCTGGAACTAGCTCTGTAGACCAGACTGGCCTTGAACTCACAGAGATCCGCCTGCCTCTGCCTCCCAAGTGCTGGGATTAAAGGCGGCAAATGTCTTCTTAACATACTGACTTCAATTTATTTGAATATATGCCCATGGTGAGGTGGCTGCAGCATATGCAGTTCTATTTCTAGCTTTTGGGGAAACACTCACATTGATTTGCATACTGACTGTACTATTTACATTTCTCTCTCTCTCTCTCACACACACACAGCAGGGGAATTCTGCTTTCCCGATATCTCACTAGCACTTGTTACCTTTTTTATCTAGATTTTAAAATTAGTGTGTATGTGTGTGTGCTTGTGAGTGAATGTGCACCATTTGCATGCAGATGCCAGCAGAGGCCAGAAAAGGGTATCAGAGCCCTGGAACTAGAGTTACAGGCAGTTGTGAGCTGCTCGGTGTATGTGTTGGGAACCAAGCCTGGATACTCAGAAAAGCAACACAGCTCTTCTCTGCTAATCCATCTCTCCAGCCTCCATTTATTGCCTTTAGTTTTATAAATTTTCTTTTCAACTTTAATTTTTTTTTACAGTGCTGGAGATCAAATCCTGTCTAGATGTTTTTTTTTTTTTTTTTTTTTGGTTTTACGAGACAGGGTTTCTCTGTATTGTTTTGGAGGTTGTCGGTCCAGCCTAGCCTCAAACTCACAGAGATCCACCTGCCTCTGCCTCCCGAGTGCTGGGATTAAAGGCGTGTGCCACCACCGCCCGGCTTTGGTTTGTTTTTAACCAGACACAGTATCACTTACTTGTGTCTGCTACACTCTGGAAACTGAGGCACAAGGATCATTTGAACCCAGGAAATTGAGACTAGTCCAAACAACCTAGTGAGACTCGGGCAGGTGTGGCACACACCTTTAATCCTAGCATTCCAGAGGCTGAGGCAGGTGGATCTCTGTGAGTTTAAGGCCAGCCTGGTCTACAGAGCCAAAGCCAAAGTAATACCCTGTTCCAAAACAAAACAAAAGACCCTATCTTGACTTTTCAGTTTAAAAACAAAAAAGATTTCTTTAATCACATTTATGTAAGTCCAGTGGTTGCTATTCAGACGCAGTACTTACTGAGGTGGGAGGATTGAAAATTGGGGGGTAATTTCATCAAGACTGTCTCAAAA